AAGAGAGGTTTGGAACAGAAAGAACTAAACAGTCAAGTACTTACATAGCACAATCAGTAATTGGGCAATACTGTAGATGGCTATAAAACTCTCAAAGGCAAAACTGCTCCAACTGCTCTACTAGCAAAGAAGCAGCCTTCTGGAAAAAAAATAAATACAAGGAAGACTTTTTTGGTATTTTTCCTTTTTATATCCACAATGTAAGATCATCTGCTATAGCATAATCCCTGCCATTGCCCTTGAAGATCAAGGTCTGCGTCCTCAGGAAGGCTGCAGTAACTAGTCAGAGGAGTCAGCACACAGTCCTGTAACCGGGTGCAAGTTTCAGTAACAGTCTGTGGTTCTAACCAGACTTGAAGAGGAGAATAGCAACTTGGCCGAGGTAGAAGTAGATGAAGTGCTTGGTCTCATGAGTCACGTAGCTGCCAAAGTTCCTTCCCACGATGCAGTGCCAAGTGGGATTGTATTTCTTGTCAAACTCCTGCAAAACAGATCACAAGAAATCAAGAACTCTTCTAAACAGGTACTCAGTTTCTGAGCAAGGCAATTAAGAGGAAGAGCAGAATCTCTTAAGTACTGGGAACATCTAATTTACATTTTATTGTTCATCTGCTGCTTGGTCAGACTCTTCTAAACAGGTACTCATTTTCTAAGCAAGGCAGTTAGAGGAAGAACAGAATCTCATAAATACTGGGAACATCAAATTTACATTTTATTGTTCACCTGCTGCTTGGTCAGACAAAAAAAATCCACAAAAAAAAGAAAAAGCCACATAGCTTCCTGTCTGAGCAGTAATAAATTCAAAATAAGTGTTTTATTCAGGCAAAGCAGTCTTTCCCCACCCATAATTCGTACCACAATCTGAAACTATAGCCCTCGAGTAAAAGCTTCACCACTAGTTTTATACCCACAGAGATTAAGCCGTAACTTAGACTTCATTGTTTGTCTGCAACATGGCTGATAAAGGGACTCATGGAAAATTCTCTGCCACATGCTCTATAACACTAGTACTATCAACAAAAAGAAGAATTTGCATTTTACACATTTCAAACAAATCCTCTACAAAGTCCTACCAGTTGCTACAAAGAATACCTGAAAAATATTAGGCTAAACTCTCTCTTTTCCACTTCCATCAATAGTTCCTGCACCTGGGAAAAAATGCCTTTCTGTATTGTGGGCATAGCAAACCAATATTTCTCTAGTGGAAGCAATCATTCTGCTTAGTTTAATTACTTTTTAAACAGCACTTCCACACAGATCAGTTTAACTTTCATGGAGAAATCAACAAGCATCAGCTTTCCTGAGTTGATGAAGCAGGAAATAAAATCAGAACTAGATCTGTCCCATGTTCAGTATTGTTAATCCGACATAATGAACAACATGGACCTTGCAAACAACAGATAATCAGTGCCACCAGCATTTTTGTGGGTTTTGGTTGTTTTTTTCTTGCTTAGGTCACTACCTAAGGAAAGGTGCGATTACAGTAGACTTGCACAAAACTACTTTTCCCTGCAATTTTTGACCCAGCTGAAAAGAACTGTGAACAGATCCTTAAGATTAAGTTCAGTAACACTGAAACCACGGACTATGTAAAAAAGGCTTCCTCTCAGAGGAAAACCGTACAAGAGCTCAGTAGAGCCCCTGTGTTTTGTACCAGCTCATCAGTCACAGGGACAGTCAGCTGCCACTCTCTGCT